GTGTGTGTGTGTGTGTGTGTGTGTGTGTGTGTGTGTGTGTGTGTGTGTGCGCGCGAGTGGGCCGTGTCCAGGAGCCCACCTGCCACATCTGATGAAGCTGCAGTGGTGTTGGGGTCCATCCCGAGTTGATTTATTGCTGCTGGCACATCGATTGCACACACAGCCGCAGACCTTGGCCAAACACTTAGGCAAATTTATACACGCCGCTTCTTTAGCATGGCGCTCACATCCGCGCCGGCTGGCCTTACTGTGCGTTTGTCAGCGTGCAATTGTGCGCACCCCCTGCATCTTTACCAATCTTATTTACCACTTAAAAGTCTCACAGACACCTGTCTGGACACAATGGCCTGCCCATAAACTGCATGGGCATAGTGTATCAATAATTAAAGTCCGACTAAACATATCATGAGTAAAGTATATCCATTTACACTGACGCCCCGTTGCATTTGCAGTAGTGGGCAAAATGGAGCAGAGAGAGAGAAAAGGAAGGAGACCCAAAAGTGGATTAAATGACTTGTTGATTAAAGCCGGTTGACCTGGAGGGTTAGATTTCTCCTCAGAATTTCATGTATAATCATGTTCCACAGCTTCAGCGGGTTTTACAACGCGTTCTTAAAGTTCAAGTTATGCTACACTTTGCTCCAAAGGTTGGAGTTATTTCAACTTTCCGTGCAGTCAATTTACAGATAATCAACACTTCAACCAAAAAAAAAAAAACCCCAGGGTTTTAATCCGACTGACTTAATTACTAACACGTTTCTCCTCATCAGGAAATAAATCACATGAGAGCCCACCACCAGCAGTGATAGCTGTTATCCCCTTTTTGGTCAAAAAAGAATAAATAATATAAGGTTATGTTAAAATAAAGATGCAGAAATAAGGCCTAAGTCTTTAAAAATTGCATTAAAATGTGTTATTCCAATACTGTGGAGGGTTTCCTTTTCATAGCTAAGTAACGGGAGTAAATGCTCTGTTTACCTCTATGAAGGAGCCTGAAATTACCTCACATGTCAGTTATCTCAAACAGTACTCGATCTAATCAATATAATCTATGATGAAACACCTTAGATTTGGAGGCGATGTAAAGATCACCCACCCAATCATTAATAAAATCACTAAAACTGAATTACTTAAGCTTGATCACTTCTTGAAACATGGCCGCCAACATAACAATGAAGTAAATGAGGTAAATTTGGCCATTTCAAAATCGTTTTAAAGCTTATGACTGAGCATACAAGGCTAATCCCAGACAAAGATCTGCAACAATATCAAGCTTTGAGATCTTAAAGATTGTTCGTTGCAGCTGGTTGGTGCTTTTTTTCCCCCATTCTTTGACCCTATTTGTTTTATATATATATATTTGGTTATAGCAGTTGTTTAACAGCCAACCGAGTGATTTCTGCTGAGCTGTTGACGCCAACGCCACTGTGTTTGTTTTTCATTAAACTGCCACGCCGTCGCACTTAGCTTTGTTCATTCATCTGCATTTATTCAAAGTGTCCATGGTCTATAGGTCCGAAACAGAGAGAGAGTTTCTGTGACATCGCGTTGACCTCAGCGAGAGCGGATAATGGGCAGAAAATTGGGCATCATTGTGTGTTTTAGTTCGGTAATGTCCACAGTGATGGAAACGAGAGCCACGGAGGCGAGACGCACAAAAATAAAGCCACTTGTTTTTTCAGATTTTGTATTCAATATCAGCAGTAATGCAGAAATGTAATCTGAAGATTGCACATTGAGAGAAGGTATGCAGGCATTCCCTTAATTTTCACTTTGTCAAAACAATCCACTATTTTTTTCCCCCTTTTCTCTGATAAGAAATCAGATTTTACTATCCGTGCTAAATGGTCTGCACTGGTGGCCTATTTTAAATCAGCCTTCAGCCGTGCTGATTTTTTTACAGATCTGCATTGGCACATTGGGAAATGCAATTAGAGAGCTCTGCCGAAGATCCAACTTCAGCTCTGCAAAACTTATGGTGTTCACGGTCGACGTATCGAATGATAAGACAGACATGTGTTCCAGATCACTGGCATTTAAACCATCTACGGTCCGAGTACGCGTTCGGGATTCGATGGGATCAGTTTGGCCCCGCCCAACGGACGGTTGAAAAGTTACAGTCACAGCTCAGATCGGATCGGATGACGACAGCGTGGGGAGGAGGCCGGGGAAGAGGGGCAAGATGGCGGACACGTGCAGGAACGTGAGGAGATTTCTATCGGGGATACATCTTTCAAAAGGCGGAATATTGACAGGCGCTAATGCCTCAGACAGGAGTCGACTCACACCCTCCTCTTTTTATTTCATCCATTCTCTTTTTGGACAAAGGGAAAGAGAGGAGGACAGACAAGGAGGAGGAAGAGCCAGGAGTTTATTTAGCACGTCGCCACACGTTGAAATAATCCCCTTAAAAAACAAACATGTTCCCGAAATGAGAATCGCCACATTTTTTTGCTTCAACGTTAGAAAGACGGCTGCATATATTCGAAACAAACTTGAAGAATCCGCTTTACCAGCCCCCAAAACAACAAAGTTGTCACTTTTCCACAAGCAGCACGCATAAAACGAGGCACAATCAGGCCACGATGATCTCATAAGTTGGACATTGTACACATAGTTTTGTGTCCGACACCCAAGATAAGTGAGACTGAAGCCTTAGAATATTGGTTTGACTCTGCGTGTGTGTTTGTGTGTGTGTGTGTGCACGTGTGGGCCGCAGCATCATGCAGAGAAGACACAGTGGTTCATTTACTGTTGCATTCCACATCTGACACACTGACCCCACACGCAGCTGAACGCACGCTCACACACCAACCCCGGAGTGTTTAGATTCCCATTAAAACACATCGCACTCAGGGAAACGGTAATCACCCAACCTAAACTTATTATTTCTCATTTAACCCAATGAAATAGATTAGCAGATGGTAAAGCCAAAGCGGGAACTTCACCCTATTTATTACAAATGTACACACATACGGTAACAGATGCTTCAGAACAGGAAGAACTCGCGTGCATACAAATATATGTTTACATATGTCTATAGACAGAAGGCCCCCTACACACCAACGGGCTGAGATTTGGAATGCTTATTTGAGAGGAAATAAGAGAAATCACACATGCACACCCGCGTTTTCAGAGCTGACAGGGCCGCCTCAACCATCACTCCCAAAATCCACCATGAAGAGTCGAGTGGATGAGCCTTAATCATTTCTAATCTGAGCCGTCTCCACAATAGAATCACTCCCTCTCCAAGTTCTTCACTCGGGAAGAGGTTTTAATGGCTTTCAGGCCATGTAATCCTGCTAAATACCGCACACTTCCATTCACATTTACTGTATATGGATATCTGAGCTATAATTACACTAATGATATGTGTAAAAACATCCTTCCATTATGTGCTGGATGAGTAAAGAATTCTGTGTTTAGGTCAGCGTTTTTGTCTCAATATGGTTTGTGGTTCAACGAAAGTCACTTCATGGAAGGAACCACCAGGGTTTAATTGTTGGTTAGCCCATGTGGGTTTATTCTAATCCGTCTCATACGAGCGTTGATTTGTACTTTCTGCCTCTTATTAATTTCCCTATGTAGGGGGAGAAGATGATGATAACTGAATCAAAGTGGGAAAACTTTCCCTCGTCAGGAGTGAAAAACGAACTGTACCTCTCAATACAAAAAAGCTATTACAAAGCTGTGCGTGGGAAAATGGCCGTCTATGCTCTGATCGAATATTTCTGCAAATCATCACAGTTTGATAACACTCCTGGTTTTAAAGTTGACATTTTGCATTATCTTCTAAATTATATTTCGCATTTGAAAAAAAAAAAAAAACTCAACCGAAAACAG